AGGACCCGAGCACCCCGACAGGCTCAGCCGCCCGGAGGCCGCTGCGACGGCCGTGGGGAGCCCAGCGAGGCCGCCCTCCCCCCGCGCCGAGGAGCCCCTCCCCAGTCTGAGCAAAACCCTCGCAGAGCAAGACTCGGCGTTTCCTCTTCCAGCTCTGCCAGAGCAGGCCCTGGCACCGCAAGTCCTCTGCCACTCAACAGCAGTGAGGTGAACCATGCTTTGGGGAATTTAATTCAATTAAAACGCATTTCTGGGCAACTCGTAATTTTGGCATCCAGACTCCCAATGAAGAAAATGTGTGACACAGGATCCAGAATACAATTTTATACTCATTTCTCTGAAAAATATTTTTTGCCACATCAGGGGTTTTCTCCAAGGCATGTACTAAATATTCAGGAAGCAAAGCCAAACAGGGCAAAACTTAGATCGAAGTAAGAGAGAAAGTGGTTTATCGCATACCCAAATGTCAACCTTCGGCCCATCGTACTCCTTTCCTTCAAAGAGCTCTGGAGCAGCATAGGGAGGGCTCCCACACCAGGTTTTAAGCAGCTGACCAGGTGTGAAGATGTTACTGAACCCAAAATCTGAAAGAAAAAAGAGAAGAGATTAGAGGAAAACGATCCACCCCAACTGTCCTAAACAAATGGCATTTGAGTAATCCGCCGAGCCCAGCAGAGTCATGTACAAGCCCTAACGGAGAGCTGATACGCAGAGGTCAGAGAATCAAGAGGGCAGAAGAGGGTGAGCGAGGCTGGAACCCCCAGGACAGCGCGAGGCGTCTCTCCGCGCCGAGGCCAGAGACCGCCAGGTATCGACAGCGGCAGGTCTGCAGGCAGCACGCCCCCTTCAAACAACCGGCTGCAAAATACCAGGCTGTCGGCCCGCCCCGCTTCTATAACCCCCTGCTTCGGCTCAGCAGAGCACAAAGACCTTCCCCGGGGTCCGCTCCTGCTTTTCACCCACGTGATTTCCGTGCTGGAGTCAATACACCAGCGGCCAGATCAGCCAGGGCGGCTGCAAGTCGGGCGGGTGGTTTGGCATGAGGCCGCCACCTTACAGTCAAGAAATCCATGTAAATCTTGTGTTAGCTCCCAACCTTCAGCTTCTCCAACATCGTTTGACAACGTCACTGGGGCCAGGGCAGCTGCCTGCAAGGGCAGAACGTGGAGACAAAGGGGAAAACAAGGGGAAACGGTGATTTTCCAGAAAGCACGACATGAGCTGGAAGCTCTGGTTATGGTGGGCAGCTCTACCGACCAAGCCAAATCATCTGCCACCAGCAAACAATCCTGAGAGAGAGACTAAAAGGAAGGTCTTCACCTTACAGGCAGGCAACCATCAGCTTACGTGGGTGCTAATGGCATTCTCTGCTAATTAACCTGCCACCCCCTGGCACACAGCTGGGACTTGCCCTGGAAAGAGTAAAGAAACCGAAGTCTGGGTTTGAGAGAAGCGAGCTCTTTCTTACAAAAAGAAAGGATCTTCCCTAACAAATTCTCTCTCTTTTGCCTCAGTTGAAGCAAAGCAAAGCAGAGTCAGGGGGGTGTCCCCACGTCCTGTGGAGGGGGTGTCTGTAGAAGCTCCCCCAGCAGGAGTGGGGCCACCAAGGTCACCTGCTCGCAGCCGTGCCCGCAGGACGGCGGGTGGCACTGACGCGGGCGGATGCGCCCGCAGCAGCGAGGACACTTCTCCTGGCATTGGCACCACCCCAGATCCTCCTGGCGGCGCTGGAGAGAACGAGGAGAGCAACAGCCAGTTGGTAAATCCTGACTGACTAAACCAAAAAGCATCACGGCAAAAATACACAGGACAGCTGCGGGGAGTAAAAATCTCTTAGCAAGAGCTCAAGATGAGTTTTGACTCTGGCACGGGTCAGAACCGCAGCGTCCGGGAGGACGCACGGCCGAGCGCCCACCTGCAGGATCCCGGCGCTGCGCAGGCAGAATCTGACTGCAAGGGCGGATTTTAATGGACGTATGCAAATGCTAAAGGGCATCCGAGATGTAAAAGAATGGAATTTTTTTCCCGTTTCTTGACATCAATACCCATTAATCCTGAAGATCCATCTTTGCTTTTATCTGCTCGTTTCTCTCCCCAGTCTTTCCTCCACGCTGTGAAAGGTTAAGGACTTTGGGGTGCGTTCTTTAGCCATCACAAAACATCTGTCTTCCTAAATCCTACAAAACGACAGGTTTGCCCTAACACAGTCAGTGATACCCTGCCGACAGGAGAACGGTTCTCAGCCGTTCAACAAAAGCCCCTTGACACCAGCGCCCAGAGCTTCACCCCGAGCTGGGGGAGCGAGTGACCCGCGAGGCCAGCGCCGGCCAGCAGCTCCGTGGGAGGCGCAGACAACCCCGCCGGGCTCCGCACGGACAGGGATCCGCGCTCCCGCCCGCCGGCGCCGCTTTCCTGACGGGAGTTTCTGTGACCTAATTTCAGGTGTCTCTCCTCTCCTCCTTCCAACGGCTTCTGCAGAGCTCAGCAGCGCACCTGGCACAGCTCGGCACCGCCGGCGGGGCTCCCGCTGGCTCGGCACGGGGAGGGGACACCCGCCTCTCCTCCTTCCCGCCCTTCGCGGGGCCAACGTTCTCGATGTGGAGATGGTTTCTTACGACCTAGTGCAGCGTGTTCCTGTGGAAGCACCCGGAGCACAGACAACACCGCTCAAACCCTGCCTCCAACCGGAGCACGGAGATGGTAAGCGTGCTTTAAAAGCATCACGGTGTCAAAAATAAGGCAGTGAAACACCCTTTGGGTTTTTGCTGCTGGAAATGAAGTCATCTGAACTTCCAAAACACAAGAGCAGGCGGCCTCTGGAGGACTATTGCAGGGAAATAGGACACAGCTGCACAGCGTCTTTCCCACCGCTGCAAGCTCACGGGCTGTTCCGTCCCACATTTAGAGCAGGACGTGTGACAAGTGCCTGGATGAGGGCGCCCAGAGCAGGCAGCGAGGATCAGCTTCCGTCTCCTAACAACCAAGCACTTGTCCTCAAGTTCAGATGCAAACTCTTTCCGACTGTGCAAGAATATGCTGGTGGTTTGGTACTTCACATGCTTTGAGCAAATTATTCTGGTTTAGTGACTTTTGTTTACCCTTGCACATACACGAGGGGGCTTTGCAGCACTTCGGGAACCAACCGTATTTTGAAAGCAGGGAGCATCGTCCCGTGCAGCCCGCCCCAGCTCCAGCCCTGCGTGGGGCAGAGGGGTCCCACGCTGCGCCCCGCTCCGCCGCGGCGCGTGCGGCGAGGGCAGAGCCGGGCCGGGCCAGCTGGCAGCCGCCGCTGCCTCTGAACAGACATGCAGCAGCTGCCTCCTGCAACCTTCTCTGCTTCCCAAGGGCCGCAGGAGATTGGCCGCCGTGGAAACTTTACCCCTCTTTCACCTCGGGTTGAAATTAGCCCCCGGGTTCACAGCTCCTTCCGACAGGGAGGGGAGGTGGGCAGAGAGCGCGGCCTGCAGAGCCCTCCGTGGCGAGCGGGGCAGGGGGGGCTCCTGCCGTCACCCCGCGGCTGCCCCATGTTTCAGGGTGAAAAGCCTCTCCCTGCGAAGAGCCGCCGCCCTGCCCGGCGCTGCGGGGCTCAGACCGTCCCGCACGAAACACTGCTCCGAGGTGGGAGGGAGCTCCCAGCGCCCACCCGCGATGCCCGAACGGAGCCCGAGGCCGGGGGACCAGCGGGCGCTGTGAAAGGGGCAGAATATGAAAACCCCAAAGCGACAAACAACATCACAAAGTACAACTTCAATAAACATTAAAAACTATGACAAGTCACCCCAATCCAAGGAGACGTGTAAATCCAAATCCCCAGGGAGCAGCCAGGTCTCATTCCACAACCGCGCGCCGAGAGAAAAGGGCATTTTTAAAGAGCAAGGTGAAAGTCCCCACGATGTGATACAGGGACGATATTTAAAAAGAAACATCTCTGGGCTACAAAGCAGCGGGCCCAGTCCCCCACGTTTCCCCGGAGCAGAGCTCCAGGGAGTTGGCTTCAGGATCTGCACAACAGGGACTTCCACGCCCCGAAGGGGAAAGAGCGAGCAGCCTCTTGCGAGCAGAGCAAGGCATAGATCACATTCCTCTCGGAAACCGTACCCGGGAAGGCCGGGCGATTTAGCAATAATCTCAACTCCTGGCTGAACTCTCGGCCTGGGAGCGTAAGTGAACGCAGTGCCAGAAGCTACTGACTCAGACTCTGAGAAGGTACGCCGGAGAAAAAGCATCCATGGGAAAAATGAGAGCGAGGGTAACGGCGTTTGCGTCCTACTGTTTACGGAAAAACCGCAGAGTTGCAATCAATCAAAAAAAACAAACCCAAACCCGAGCCCCCAGATCACACCTGTAGTCACCACTGAGCGAGAAGAGCGGCATCAAGGCGCTCCGAGGCCGCCACGCTGCCCGGCTAAGCGGGAGTTACTGAACGCAGGCCGACTTAGGGAGGCAAAGCTGCACACGGAGGTCAGCTGGAACGTGCTAGAAAATCCGCGCCGGGGAGAGTCTGCAAACCTCCAGGAGCTGATGGAACTGTGCACGTTACGAAGGGCTGCACACACGGGGGTCACAAGAACCGCGGAGCTCTAGTCCCGGGCTCAGCCCCGCGTGTGCGAGCTGGGCCGCCGGCTCACCGCTCCCCACGGGCTGCCGGGCAGGCAAAGAGCCACCGGACCCGCCAAGAGGAGCCTCCAGCGACGGCCCAGATTTATCTACAGCCTCCATCAGCCGAACAGTAAATGCATCACTGAGGAGGTCTGAGTCAGACACGGTTAACGGGTTTGGCCGTGGGGGTTGAGCTGATCCTCCGGCCTGTGGAACAGGCCTTCGCGCAGCGCTGCAGTGTTTATTCTGGGAGGTCTGGGGTGAAAGAGATCAGTTGCTATCGCTTCTTTTTTTTTCTCTTGGAACAATGGAAGAGCTGGTGTCAAGTTGTAAGTGATGAGTTATAGGGACAAAACTTAATACTTGGAAAATCCGATATCATAAATCAGCTTTTCCAGGCTAGTTTTCAAATCACTACATCTTCCTGCCAAGTAAAACACTACCCCCACCAGGGTGGGAACTATCTTCTAGAGTCCATTCTGGGAGCAGAGATTTGGAAGGAAAATAGTTTCCAACTCCCTTAGATATAAAAAAAAAAGTTTCCACAATTTTCAGACATTCACAGAGCCCGTCAGCACGCTCATGGGGACGTTTCTTTAGGAGATCCAGCTGCATCCCAGTTTCTACCTGGGTTAGTTTTTAACTTCTTTTTCTTTTTACTCACCACGCTCCCCTGCGACACACAGATTAGATTTTACTCCATGAACACAAGATGGCCTCAAATCATCAGTGCATCTGTTTGTGTAAGACAGCAACCAGAAAGTGCTGCTCGGAGGGGTCCCGAAGAGCCTTTGTCGCAGGAGCTCCCTCACCTGCCACCAGCTCCTCCCCGGCCCAGCGCAGCTACTACCAGCGGGCGCTTGCTGCCGCCCTTCTGCAGCCCGGAGGCTCTTACCCAGCGGCGGGAGGCGACTCTGACCAGTAAAACCCTTCTGCCCACGCTCTCAGGAGACTCGCATGCGGTCCCGGGAAGCGAAACGCTGGCAGGGCAGCTCAGATTCACCTGACCCCGAGGAAACGCCCCAAACCACTTGTACTCCAGCAGCAACCTGGCTCTTACTCATCCTCTGCTCCCAGAACAGCCAAGAGCAGGTTGTCATCCTTGTGCCAAGGAGGACGTGGTTCATGCTGCTAAAGGGTCCAGAGGACGTTTCGTCAAGTCCTTCACTGCATCCTACTCCTTCCCCATTCCCTCCTCACAAAGCGAGGATGAGAGAAGCCCAAGAAATTACTCATCATTTTACTACAAACCAAATGTTAAACTCTAACACATAAGGATGGTACATAAGAGAGCAGTAACATGACAAACAAGACTCCTCTCTCCAAGATGGCATCAAGCTAGAAGGGCTTTCCCCAACTCCCAATATTAAAATTGCTCAGACTGAGAAGTTTTGTAGCCCTAAGCGCTTTTTTTTTTTTTAAAAAAAAGAAAAATCAAGTTACAAACCCTTGTAGAAGCCAACAAGCTCTCCAAGGGAATCTAATAGGAGAAGGGACAAAGGGCTTTCCAAACATGCTCTGCTATGTATTAGGCTCTAGAAGAACTAAATGGTAAGTAGGAGCTCTTCCAATTCAAAAACCCATGAAAGGAGATGACCAGGACGGTGCTAAATCCTCCTGTTTCAGCCAGTTGCTAAAAAATCCCCCAAAGCTAAATAAAGTCAAGTCTAGCCAGCGCCTCACAGAGCTCCCAGGCAAGGCTCAACCTCAGTACAAGAGGAGCACAGAGGTGCAGGCTGAGGATCTGCCCAAGGTGCCCGCTCTCTGGAAGGGCAGGCGTCAGCAAAACCCCACGGCCCGGCAAAACCCTGGGAACAGGCTGCGAGGGCTGTTCCTCGAGTAACTTCAGCTTCTCTCCCTGCCACAGGGGAAACACCCGGAGCACTGGGCTGTTCTCTTGCTGTCGGACGGCGCAGCGAAGTGATTCCAGCAGTGCCATTTCCCCTTCGCTGCTCTACCATAAACGCTGTCAGCCCCATTGTTCCATTCTCTCTCTCTCACCTAGTCTGACCTTCTTCAAAAGAAGTCCTAAACTGGCAGCAGGCCTCAAAACAAGGTCAATTTTTTCATATTAGTCTCGTCCATGATCAAGCGTCCTGGAACAGTGCAGTGTCTACAGCCGCATATCCGCCTAGGAAGCCAGAACTGCTTCTTTTTCTCCTCCTTTCATTTTGCACTACTTGAAGGGAGATATAAATCTCCTGGCTACAACCTGGCAGTTTCAGCTCTGGGCAGCAGGCCACACAGAAATCCAAAGCTTCCTTTAGCTGCACTGCGCTTCCTTCTTTCTGAATACCTGGAAGCAGCCAATGCCTCCATTTATTAACTTCTGAGAGCAGCTGCCTTCCTCCCACACCGCTCGTCTTAGCTCACCTGCTATTTTGATGTTAAGGTTAGCATCCAGAAGGAGGTTTTCTGCCTTCAGATCTCTGTGGACGATATTACGACAGTGGCAGAAGTTGACAGCAGCCACTATCTGCTTGAACTTTCTCCGGGCTTCCTTCTCCGCCATACGGCCGTGGGCCACCAAGTGATCTGCAGGGGACCAAGCGAAGAACAAAGTGGTTATTCACAGGGGGAGCGCGGCCCCGACAGGGGCTTCTCGCGGGCTGGCGGCCAGCGAGGCCGAGGGTGGAGGCGGGGAGCGCCGCGGGCACCGGCGCGCCCGCCAGGTCCCACCCCCGATGGGGCCAGCGCTGGAGCCGGTGGGGAGGGACTCGGGCCCCCGCGGCCACACAGCTGTGAACCTTCCTTCGTTTAGTTCTGGCTGATGGCGCTGCCCGGAAAATCAGAACTGTTTTGGGAAAAGCGTAAAGGTGTTCAAGCTTTTTCTACATCAAAATAAAACCCTTCCAGCCCTTTCCTGCAATCAGATACCAAGCCTCGTGCCCCATTACCTCAACAGCGAGAGGCGCGGGTTTGTGGCGACATGCCATCCCTCCTTTCCTCTGATTTCTGGCAGGAAACGTGTCTTTGATCTACCAAGCCTCACCAAAGGTACCTCTCGCCGAAACCAGTGAAGTCCCGGCTAGTCAGGCGGCCAGCTCCTCACGCTCAGCTGTCCAGCTGCACGCCCACCAGCTGCAGGAAGCGTCCAACGTGGTCCCTCCCCGGAGGAGAAGCCACTGGCGACCAGAGGGCAGCGAGCCCCGCGGCACCCGGCCGCAGCACGCCGGGCATCGGCCCCAGCCCCGCGCTCTCCCTGCTGCTGGGGGGCACGGGGCGCTCGCAAGGCCCCCCAGCTCCCCTCCCAGCTCGGGACCGACGCGCAGCTTCAGGGATGTTCCTGCTTCTGCAACGCAGCGAAAGGGAGACACGCACGCGCTTTGGACACGCACAGGGGTGTGGGTGCTCGCGACCGGCCTCGGGGTACCTGCTACTGTTTTGGTGCAAAAACGTACTCGTGATATTCCATAATGCCTTTCACTACAAAAATGGAGCTCGCCTCTACTACGGAAATCTGAGTAGTCTAAATTATTCTGTTGAAAATCTATACCCTGACTGCTGCCAGCGAGGCTCTCGGTGGAAGCCAGCACCGCACACGCGGACAGGAAAAGCCTCGCTGCGAGATCACAAGGGCAGGCGTGGCGCAGCGACCAACCGAAATCAATCCGCTCCAAACCTGAAAGCACTGGGCTCAGCAGCCACTCACCACCCCGTCCCGCAAGCGGGGACGGACAGACGGGAGACAGGCGGCAGAAAGGGCAGAGGAGGGAGGAGAAAAAGCACCCCCCTCCCTCAGAGCATCAGCAGAACAGGCAACAAAACTCTGCCAGGAGAAGTGTAAAAGTCAAAGTAAGCGGCAGCTGAACTATGAAATGCAAATATCACCCCTTCCTCATCTCCCTCTCCCCCACCAGCAAATCTAGGTAAAACTGAAGTAGCGTGGTAAGAGGTACAGGTAGGAAAAGGAGTTTGCAAGATTCTGGAGCTGAGGAGAGTGCTACAAAACACCAGGAGAAGCCTGAGAAGGGTCCTGGAGAGCCCCGGTCACCACACACCACGTGCGGGGCCAGGAGGGCTCCCCAGTTTCCCCAGTGCAGAGGAAGGGCTTTGGAGGGGTTTGCATGAGCCCTCTCCCCTCTGGCGTGGGCCACGGCGCGGGCTAGCAGGGGCACTGGCAAGCCAAACCCTGGGGTCTGTCCCCTCGCCTCTTTCAAGAGGCCGTTACTGCGTCGCCGGGCCATGGAGGCGGCCTCCAGAGCTCTGGAAAAATAGGCTGAAGTGGTTCATTCCACTCCAGAAAGTCCATTAAACTGGAGGGCTTGAGAGAGATATCTGTTCTTGAAAATAATAAAAATAAATCACTTCTGAAGGTTTCTCATCAGGTGGTTGTATTTTTTCCAGTCACCCATTAATTAAAATACCTGCGACATAATTGACTTGCAGTAAATACTAATTACCGAGATCCATCAAAGCAGTTCTGCTGCCTGCTGGCTGCACAGCAGCCCGCTGCTCCGCGTTCGACTCCTCGCCTTGTGCAACAGAGTCAAGTTGTTTTTCAAAGACCTTGACGATTAAGTTTTATTCATTGGATAAAGTTATTCCGTGAGCAAATCCGGACCGGGGCTGGGGGAGGAAATCCATCGCCAACTCCAGTATGACCCTCAATTCACTTGCTAGGAAAAGCAAAACTGCCGATCTCAAATAGCTCCATCGTATTTCATTAAGTCATCTGCAGGGTCATAAATTATTTACCCTAAGGAGCTGGGAGACTGACAAGCAGAGGTAAGCAAGGGCCTGCTCCAATTTAAGCATTACCACCCATCAACAGATAGTAGCTCAGGTCCTAAACAAGTCAAGGTCACCGACGCCTCTCCCTCGGCTCCATCGGGGAGCGCAGCCTGCCAACGCAGCGAGTGCTCCTAGAGCGAGGCGCAAGGCTGCTGTCCCCACGCTTCTGAAAAGACTCTCCTGCAGGCAAGAAATCAAATGCAGGTACTGCAGCAGGCGCCTGCCCCGAGGCTCTCCTAAGCTCGTTTTTGCCCAAACCAGGCTGACCTGTCCCCACGCAGGGAGGGCGGCGGGTGCCCTTGAGGCTCGCCCTCAGCAGCTGCCCCGCCGGGCGTCCGCTCACACAGAGAGCTGCCGCCCCTTCGTGCCTCAGTCCTGCTTCGGCTGCGGAAAAAATCCTTTTAAGTTAGGCGTGAAATTTCACTTTTCATGAAGAACTGTGAGTGGAGGCCGGTCCCCAAGCTCTGCACGTAGGCACAGCACTCGGAGACCGCTGACATTTCTGCCCAAGCTCCAGAGGAAGGACAGAAACAATGAAGCTACAGAATACTTCACATACCACCAAGGGCAACTGTATGCCAAAATTAACCGTTGCAGGCTTAGTCTGCAGAAACCCCTCGTGCAGCGGAGGTTACAGCCATGACCTGCGTGTCCAGCTGGGAGCCCGCACGCCGGTCTCCAGCGCCCCGAGTCCGGGGGCACAGCCTGGCCGCTGGCTCGCGCAGACGTCAGCGTGCTCCCCAGGAGCGGCACAGACAGACGGCGTCGCTCCTTTGGGGGTTCTCCAGAGAGGCAGGAATGCCTGATTTCATTTCACAATCCTTAAAAATGTCCATCGCTGATCTCTGTGCCGAGACAAAGCAGATGATGCTGCTCTTGGCATTAAAAAAACAGTAAAATCCTACACTGGGAAAAAAGCATCTTCCAGTTAAGAGACAGGACTGACACCCGAGTTTCCACTTTTTGCCTCTGGACAGACGTCTTGTGCTTTCTCTCTGGGAAGGAAACGCTGCTTCAGCTTCACGTCTCCTCTGTGTGGCGGGTTAAGCCCCAGTTCCAGCGTATTTGGCGACCTTGTGATCTCAGACGCAGCCCGACCTTCTCGAGACGTACCACGTCCCTCAGCGCGCCTGTCAGCTCCGGCTCAGAGAGCTCAGGACGAGCAGGCAGGAGGCGGGAGGCAGGGCAGGGACAGAGACGTGCTCCCACATTAACCAGACCATAATTTTGTCAAGTTCACTGACATTTTTTTGTTAATCTACCAAGTACCCATATCCTTGTCCACGAGGACTGGAGCTCATTTCCAGTAAACAGCCGAAATCAAACCAGACCTTTAGACTATTTTCTGTCTGGCGTCCCAAGAAGGACACTAGAGGGACCTGGAACAAAGAGCACCCTGTGTTTAAAAGAAGACGTTCATTTGTTCATAATGTCAAACCAGGAACCCAACCGCACGCAAAACACGCACAGGGACAAAAATAACAATTTACATTTTGCTGCTTAAGCCCACAGCAAAAGCAAGTCTCTTCCCTGATCCCCGCGCTCCACCACGCAAACAAAGCAAATTATCCAAACGTTTCCAGTCAGGGAAGAGCCAAAGACACTCACGGCCCAGCGCGGGCACTGCCGGAGCCTCAGCCCACGGCCTGGAGGTTCGGATAACCGGGCGGGAAGGCTCATCCTGACCCACATCCTCGCGCAAGCCTGGGCAAGCCCCAGCTTCACCTGCTGCAGGACGGCACGGCAGAGCCGGCGCGGGTGTGAAGCCAGCCCACGCTGCCCCGCGCTGCCACAGGCTTTCTCTCCACGGCACGAGGACGTGAGATTCCTCAGTTCTGGAGATGCTAACGGCGGCGAGGAAGCCTTCCCAAGACGGCTCGCTGCTTCCGCCCTGGAAATTGCTTCCGCTGTTAGAACAAAGTCTTAAGGGCTCCTCAGGAAACTCTGATGACAAAAAGCCGAGACTTCAGTTTCCCCCTCTCTGCTCTAAGGCCAAGGGCGCGCAGGGCCTCGTGGTGCCTGAAAACGCTCAAAGCCAGGCAGCGGGGGCACGACGTCCTGGCTCCGCTCTGGAGAAGTGTCACGGCCGTTACGTAACGGGCTGCTCCCAGCTACCAACGAGGACAAAACACTGGGCAACGTTATGGAAATTAGCCACGCTAACGAGCCGAGTTTACTACAGCATAAAGTATTTCGGAAAGCAATTAGATTTTCACTTCGGCTCACACAGAAGGCTATTTTTGTAACTCAGAGAATTCATTCCAAGTTCGTATGCGAGCTTGGACATCATTCTGGTTTTAACAAAGATGGGCCCACCTCTGCCAGATCCAACAGAAGAGGGACAAAAAGTAAAAGGTGATTTCTAGTTTTCTGCAGGGACCCCCACACAAGCGAACTCTAACACACACTCAAGTGATTCAGCCGCAGTTCCGGCTTGCTGCACGGGGTAAGGTGACTTTCACAAGCCTTCAGGACTGCTGGTGACTGTGTTTGAGGAAACAACTGAAGACTCAGGTTTTTCAGCAGGCGTTCTCCACTTTCCAAACATCGGCCGCGACCTGCTTCTTCCTTCCGCTGCCACTTTGTCCGAGAAGAAATCCAAAGGACAGGGCCCACGCTGAGAAGAGGGCAGGACAACCACCCACACAAGTACTGAAGAACTGGTGTTTGATTACAGTTACCGGAAACCAGCACTGCTCAGCTCAACTTGTCTTCTTTCCCTTAATTTGGGGCTTTTCTTGCTTCACTAGGAGGTTCACCTTTTATCACATGTGGTCTCAGTTCCGGCAGAGCGAGAGCCTCTGCCATCCAAAGCGAATCTCCTGCAGTGGCTGACCAGGACCAAGGGGAGAGCGTTTCCATCTGGCTGACAGGCTGCACGCGCCCGTCCTCACAAGGACGCTGCCTGCAAGCGGGTTTAAGGCAGCTCCCTTCAAGCACCAGGGATTTTCCCCGTTTTCTGAAGCTCACGTTGGATAAGGCAGTGAAAGCCAATCTTGCAAAATTCTGTCACCTGGCACGATATTGCACTGTGTAAGTAAATCTCTGCTTCTACAAGTTTCTTATTAGTCATGGCAATAAAACAAATTAACGAATTGCAACAGTTCTTGCAATTGTCTTGCACAGATGCTTTTTTTTTCCCCCCCCCCCCTTTAAAGAATAACTTCTGCGGTCAAGAAAGCTCAGCCAAAACCTTGTTAGCAGACAAGGGAGTTTAAAATGGATGTAACTAATGCACACCGAGCTAACATCAAATACGAAAACGATAAGAAAATACATAGTTTTGAGATCAAAATACTGCGGAACCACAGGACTGCCTGTTGCTTTGAAAGCTACTCACAAACACCAAACGTTCCTGCCACGTCAACAAGTTTCACACAAATTGCTGGGGAGCAAAGTATTCAGCAACACTTTAAAACCCGACTGGGTGACCAATTATAACATCTTTAACCCCAAAGTCAGCGTAAGAGAGGGGCAGCACCACCTGTCAGTGAAACCCAAAGAAGAAACAGAGGTTACGGTGGTAATTTTTCCATCAAGTTGGTATGGCATATTTCTTTACTCCTCTTGTCAATGGAAAGTTTTCCTGCTGAAGGGCATCTCTCAACTGAAACAAGAGCGTGGCAGCTATTTTCAGTTTACTGTAGTTGACCAAGCGCATTATCTGATTAAAGAATGCAATAAATGTACTTACCAAATATTTCCCCTCCACTAGCATACTCTGTCACTAGATAAATCATCCTCTCCGTCTCCATAACCTGGACGCAAGGACAGAAAAGTGACAGATAAGGAGACTGCCATGTGCAAAAAGAAACGTCACTAAAAAAGGTTTGTTCTTTCTGTAACACGTGCAACTGCTTTCAGCAAATCCGAAACATTACCTCCCCGTGCTTTACAGAGCTGTGCAAAGGAATGGGCAGGAACCGGGGAAAGCGAGACCCAAAGAGCAGGTTTTAAACACTAAACCTGCAGCTACACACAACATTTCGCCCGCACCTCCTTCTTCTATTTCTCCCCCCCTTTAGCGTTTGCTCCCCGGTCTCATCCTGTTCCAGCAGCCTGGGAGACGTCTCGGGGTTAGTTCACCTTTCTGATTAATCAGCCAGTCACAGGCACTAAAATAACCAGCACAGATTTGCCAAAGGGGGGAATATTCACGGACTTTCAAACGCCCCATTGGAAATCACCCAGAGCCCGGGCTTTGCTGTGGGAGCCTGTGCCTTCCGGTCAGGTAACACCGCATCTCCAGCAGCTTTTAACACACGTCTTTAAGAGTCTGTTGGGACACTGAGGCCGAAGCAGTCCAACACACCAAGGCCAGTGATTTCTCCGATGGAATTTCTTCAGGGGCCCAGGCAGGGTGCGGGCGGAGGCAGCGAGGGGCTGCGGGAGCGCTCGGCACAGCCGCTGCCCACGGCTCTCGGAAGCGCACGGCTGATTTCTGAGCACGGTTCTACAACCCTCAGGGAAACCAGCGCTCCAGAACGGCCTCAGAGGCCTGAACATCTTCTGGGAAGGGCCCTGTCGGGATGCAGAAGAGAAGCAAAGCCCAGGGCGAGGCACCGTGCGCTGACGACAGGCCCCAGGACAGTTGTGACGCTCAGCGGGCGGCAGGGCAGGGCGTACGATCGCGCCGCGCAGGCACAAGGCAGCAAAGGACGCCCTCTTGCCTGCAGCTTTGCTCAGGGTGGCTCTGGGGGCTGTTCGGGCACCAGGCTGGGTTTTGTGACCCGCCTTCGGGCAAGCACACGCGTGGGGTGTTTGCCAGAACTCGATGCCGTTCCTACAGCAGGCTTCACGGGTTGGCCAAGGCAAAACAGACAGTGCGCGGCGCTGAGCCTCCGGTGCCAGGACAGGTCCGATCGGATACTCCGGGGGGCGGAGAGAAGGCCTGGAAACTCTTTGTCTTTGTTTTGGCTTTTCTCCGATTCAAAGACGAGCGGAAGTTCACCTTCAGACCCTGAACGCACCATTAGCCCAACAGAGAGGTTACGGACGTGGAGCCCAACGCTGCTGCTGCTTACTGAGAACTGGGACTCAAACGTGCAGCCCTCCTGCCTTAAACAGGCCCGATGCCGCCAACAGCAGCCGCTGGAACAGCTGGACGGCTCTCGCTCGGAACGTTAAAACAGAGCACAACCGAGGTGAACCTCAGTGCTGCGCAACTGTCACAGGGCCAGAGGCACAGCTCCCCCCTAACGGTGAGAGTCGCATCTAGAAAACCCTCAGGTGGACGTTTTTAAGTGCAGCTCTGTTTCCCGACAGAATCTCTTATATTATAAACTCCTGTCACTATAGACACTTCCTCCTTTTTCACTTACACCTTTAAGTTCCGGAAGATCGAGGAAATGAGGATTTTTAAACCCAGATTTCTGAAGAAAAGCTGTGGAAGGCTCTGAATTCCCAACTCCAGGTTTGAGTAGTTTACCTCTAAAAATAAATGCCACTGAAAGTACCCAGAAAGAAGGGCCACATGAAGCACACTCTGCAGCTGGTGCTCTCTTCTCACCTGAGCAAAGCTGAGCCACGAGCGTCACCTGTCCAGTATCCCATCAAAAGCTTTAGATGGAATAAAACAGGTTGAAAAAGGGGTTTTGGGCTCAAAAAAAAAAGCTCTAAGGAGTCAGTTTGCAAAGAAGCATTCCTTAAGTTCCTTAAAAATGCCACAATTCTGCAGCGTCTGCTGTAAGCATCTCACGCTTGGCCCTTTGGCCAGAACAGCTAAACATTAACCTCTGCCACTTCTCCTCGGTTTTAACCCTTCGGAGTCCAGCAAACGCTATCAGGCACGGACAAGAAGCAGAGCGGGCTTGAACGGACAAGAGTTGGTTTTAGGGAACGGCAACTTCTGCTGCGGGTTAGCACAACTTCTCCCTTCAAACACCGCAGTCCAGAGGGAAATAACCCCAGTGTCTTTCCCGCAGGATTCTGAGTCTCTCCCATCCGCGTCAGGGAGCCCCCAGAGGCAGGGCCCTCCTCCGCTGCGTGCGCCAGCCCCAGGAGCTGACTTTGCACCCGCAGCCTGGGTGGAAGCGCCCTCCGTTCCCTGCCAGCCCCCGGGCGCACGCTGCCGGGGCCGAGGGCCGGCGGGTCTGGGTGGACTCGGCAGGCAGCGCTAGCTCCGAGAGGCTCCGGGGAAGGAGCCTTTGCCCCCAGCTTCCCAGGAGCAGGACCGCAGGCAGCCGAGCAGTTTGCACAGAGCTTTCTGCCACGCTGGCTGTAAGTCGCTGCTCGAGCCCTTGCGTCGGGAAGGCCCGAGGAGGGAGTTTTTCATCTGTCCAGCAGCTCCCAAGGCAGCATTTGACATTTCGCCGAGGTGCAGGCCTCCTTCCTTCCTCCGCTCCCATCCCTCTGCCGTTTGCTCGTCTCTGGCCTGTGGCAGCTTCCTTGCTGTTCCGTTTGATGGTGCAGTCGGAGGGGCACCACCAAATACACAGTCAAAGGCAACGCAGACGGATTCTGTCCCCCGTGGTTGCGTTTGCAGAGTAAAACGCCAAACAAGCAGGAGAAAAAGTCTGCAGACAACATTCAAAAGCAGGTCTGCCGCTGCTATTGATCACCTTCCAGGAAAGCGCCGAGCAGATCAGCAAGTCCTCGGGGCCACGGAGCAACCGGGCAGGGAGAGGGGAGCGGGGAGCCGCGTGCTCTCAGTCCTGCCAGCGGGTGAGACTTACTCTCTCCCTTAACTTGAGAAGGGGAGCCCGCATCCGGTTTCAACTGGGAAACTGAAAAGCACACAATAGCCATAAACAAATGGCAAGAGGCCAGCCCACAGAGGAAGCGTGATCTCCCAGAAAAGAGAAGGATTAGCCACGCTTTCCCCCCTCTGCCCCTCTAATCGGAGACCTTGAAAACGTAAAGGACTTTCCTAGCATTTCACATAGCAGAAAGGGAGGGATAACCCTCGAGAAAGCACAAGGATAGAGCATAAAGGGAAGCCCACTGCAGGGTGCTCCTACCTGGTACAACCTGATGATATGCGGGTGGCAAAGCATCTTCATGATCTGAACTTCTCTGAAGATCTTCTTCAGGTTCTCTTCATCCAGCTGTGTCTTATCAATTATCTTGATAGCAACCTAGCAGAAGGGGAAAACAAAAGAGAGGTTGCTGACCCAACTGCACGTCAGGAGAAGCATTTTTAAGGACAAATACCGCACAGAAGACCCTGCCTCACACACGCACCCACTACTGCGCTGAAAAGGACACTATTTCTGAACTCCTGCCTGTATTTCAAAGCGAGCCCAAACATTTGTTTTGCTTGCCCACAGGAACCGGTTTCTCGGATCTCCCCGGCCAGCTCTGCCCTGCAGCCTGGCCGCTGCCGGGTTCCCTTACGGCTGGAGGATGCGCCCCAAGAGCTGCGCCGTGTTGGCATCGGGGCAGGGAGGGGGACGGAGAGGTTGCCAGGCGGCAACCCGGAGGGGAAACAGCTTTGGGGGGTGGAAATCCGGGTGCAAGTGGGAAGGACTCTGCTGCACTACCCAGCCAACGCCTCGCTACAACAGGGCTGATCGGTACGAGCAGGGACAAGAACAGGGGGCTCAGGCTTCTAACAATCGAGATATTTATTTATCTATTTTAAAAACAGAAGTGCTCCCTAACGCTACTCTAACAGAGTTTAAACAAGTCTAAGTGCTTCCAGTCAGGTGCTCTCCAGCGTCGAAGACTTCCTCCTCGCTCCTCTTCCCTCCACCCGCCCCGGCGCTGGCACCTCCCAGCGCTTTTGGGCAGGGACGGCAAAGCCATCAGCCTGCCAACAGGGAGACTCTGCCGTGCTAAAGAGCACCTCCTCTCAAGTCTGCTGCACGGAAGCAATTTGTTTCATCCAACACGCGCAGATAACGAGGAAAGGAGTCTTTTCCAGAAGGCCTGACTCAGCAGGGGAGACAAGGCAGCACTCTCAGCCAGTGTGAGACGTCGCTGGAGCAAACAGCTGAGAGAAAAGGCTGCTCTTCCCAGCAGAGGAACATTTGTGCCGCTGCTTCTAAATCAGATTTCAGCCTTGAGTTAATAAGTACCTTCCTCCCCCCCAGGAAACATCAGTGCGAGCGAGTAGCTAGAGCATGCCAGCCTAGTTTGAGATTTGTGGGCTGAATTAACATCCACCAGCAGGTTTTCTCGCGTCGAGATGGCACGCTCTCTGGGAAAAGAGCCGCTTCTACAAATCCTCCCCTGGTTGCTTTGCTGAAGCATAATTTACAAAACTTCTGTCAAGGAAGACTGCGGAATCATGCAAAGACATGGGGAAGGGCATGCAAAGCAGCACTGCGGTAAAAACCGCTGATGGTGCGCAGCCTGAAGGATTTGACCCAGGAGCCCAAGCCCAATGACATCCACGGCTGTGACAGGCTCCAGCACTTGCCGGGGACGGGGACACGTGCTCCGCACGCAGCGGCGTGCCGTGTCCGCGGACAAAGAACCGCAGCGGCTCCCGATCCAAAACACATGCGCTGCTCCTCTGGTGCCAAACCCCAAGCGCAGAGCTAAAGGGTGCTCTGACAGGCACGGTGCCCTTCGGAGAAAAACAAACAAACAAAAGGAGCTTTGGGATCTTTCAGGGAACAGTCTGAAGCACACAAAAACCAGGCGCCGCATTTTATGATAAAATCCTCGCCAGGGGAATAACTGCCCGGCCTGTAAGCAGAACACAGCAGAATCCCGAAAAGGCACCAAGCACAATAAGCTGTTTCTTTCATTTGAAACCTTTAATTCAGAGCCCAGGAACGATTCCAGACTTCTAAGTCACCGAGCATGCTTCCTACAGCAAGACCAGGAGCTGGACGGCAGCCAGGCCTGGCACGCAGCACCAGAAGCTGCTGGCAGCAGCGGGGCGGGAGGCGAGAGGCAAGGTGAAACGGCAGAGCCGGGCCCCGCTCCGGGAGGCTGCCCAGCCGTGGTGAACGGGGTGACAAGCCGCC